AGGGCTTCACGGTTTAGGGCTTCAGGATTCAGGGCCTTAGCGTATTAGGACTTCAGGGTTTAGGGCTTCAGGGTTTCGGGCTTCAGGGTTTAGGGCTTCAGAGTTTAGGGCTTCAGGTTTTAGGGTTTCAGAGTTTAGGGCTTCAGGGTTTAGGGCTTCAGGGTTTAGGGCTTCAGGGTTTAGGGCTTCAGGGTTTAGGGCTTCAGGGTTCAGGGCTTCAGGGTTCAGGGCTTCAGGGTTTAGGGCTCCAGGGTTTAGGGCTTCAGGGTTTAGGGATTCAGGGTTTAGGGCTCAAGGTTTTGGGCTTCAGGGTTTAGGGCTTCAGGGTTGAGCGCCTCAGGGTTGAGGGCCTCAGGGTTTAGGAGTGGGAAAGTAAAACTCTCCGGGGGAGGATGAGAACCTTTTATATTCTTAATGTTATGGGATTCTTTGGGCGGGTGGGTTTTTTTCTAAGCCTGGAATGAATGCTAGAACAGTGACCCTCTAGACCCTAAACCCAAAACCCTAAACCCTATCCCAACAGCGGCCCTAAACCCTTAAAATCTCATCCCCGGGATTCGGGTTCTCGTCCGCCTCAAGTGTTCTTGAATAGGGGCACCAAACTGCAGCTTTGGGTGCGGGAAGAGGTTTAGGGTTTAGGGTGGCTGAATAGACCCTAGCCCTAAACCCTAAACCCTAAATGGTTGTAGGAAGCGGGTATGCTGACCCCGGTTGGTTCGTTACTGGTGGTCAATGCACCCACTCTAGAGATCTCGACAGGAGTTGCCTCGCCCGCTTACGCCAGTGTGAGAGTCGAAACCCTAAACCCTGGAGCCAAAGGGTGGCGAAATAGAGTTCTGAGGGGAGTTCGGTTCCTGTTCGCAGGCCAATGCCACCTGCAGCGACCACCGAGGCGATCTCGTTTGTCGATGCAGGCGTGTTGGGGAGTTCCGCCTCATAGTGTAGGTTTCGGGTTTAGGGTTTAGGGTCTAGGGTTTAGGGTTTAGGGGTGCTGGTCCCCAGTGGTGCCTTTGTAGTTATACTATAGGAACCCCCCAAAACCGTATTCTAATTCTTCAGGCCCCTATGTTATCCTTGTTTTTGGGAAGAGCCCTTATGCCACATGTGAGGTGCATCATCCTGCGCACACTCTCCCGCAGAAGCCACCAGCCCTACTTCTCTTATAGTCGTAGACCGCACAGACGGGTGAGTCTTGGGTAGGCCACACAAAAGAGGTGGAGGGCCTGGAGTTCTTTGAGGTAATTTCTGCTGTGAACGGGTTCAGCCGCGCTGCAGGGCCTTCGCCGCCTGCGGTGCCCAGAGCACCGACACCTTCACACGGCCAGAATCTGCGGGGGACCTTCAGCATGCTCTCCTTGCAGCAGGGCACCTCGTCCGCATCTGAAAGGGGGTTGGCACCCTAAACCCTATAAACCCTAAACCCTATGAGAATCCGTACGGTACGTTAGATAGCTCGAGATGTGTGCTTTGCACGACCTTCGGGCCTGGGATTTTTCAAGGGCAGTTATCAGAACCTAAGTCCCATGCCGAGCCCGAAGCATGGACGGGATGTCTTTGAGGGTGTATACGGTTTCGGGTTCAAGGTGTACGATTTAGGGTTGCTGGCCCTGGAGGACGTACTGGTTTCTGGAAGTTTTTCGAAGTTCTACCGGGGCACAAGGCATTCGCGCACGGGCATGCTGCGCACTTCTTTCCCTTCAGCCAAGGGCGTATCTCAGTGGTGCTGCCCTGCTTGAACGAGAGCGAGTTTGCTGTCAAGACTGTCCAGAGCTTCTGCAACAGGCCATGTCAGACCTTGTCGCACACTCCAGATTTGCTACTGGAGCGCAGCGGAGCCAAGTGCAGGTGCCGATTGATAGCCACCCGTAATTCTGAGTCAAGTTCCACTGAATCCTTTAAATGTGCAGGCTGCTCAGATGCGGGTTGCCAGCATGCAAACATCGTTGAAGCGCAGGTTTGGATAAGCCTGAAGCCCGGAAAAGCCCAAAAAACCCACGCCCTGAACCCGCAGTTGGACATGTGACAGCTCAAGAAAGTCCCTAAACCCTAAACCCTAAACCCTAAACCCTAAACCCTGAACCCTGAACCCTGAACCCTGAACCCTGAACCCTGAACCCTGAACCCTGAACCCTAAACCCGAACCCTAAACCCACTGCAGGACGCCCTCCGACGTCCTGGCAGAGATCATCGTGGTGGACGACGGCTCATGGCCGCCCCTTGAGATCGAGCCAGCTGCCGGCACTTTTAATGAGACCTTTCGCAGCTGAGGGGCCAACATCCCTGGAAACCCTACACCCCAAACCTTAGAAACCCTGAACCTCAAACCCTATAAACCCCAAACCCTGTAAACTCTCTAAACCCTCGTTTTTGTGTTGTGAAGGGACTCCAGGCTGCTCGTGCTTTGAAGAGCCCCTTTGCCCCAGTTCATTTGCCAACGGGGGAAGCCAAAATTGTGAGGTCAGGGTTCAGGGTTGAGGGTTTTGGGTATACACCTTCAAGCCCTAAACCCATGGTCCTGAGCTAAAGGAAGTCAGGCTCAGAGCATTGAACATGGTGTCACGAACCTTTGCAGTGAATCGCTACTTGGGAGGTTCCGCGACGTCTCGATTCAAACCCTAAACCCCTAAACCCTAAACCCTAAACCCTAAACCCTAAACCCTAAACCCCCCCTATACGGAAGCTAGCCTCACGAGCGAGGCTTCACCGACGAGTGGACTCGACATGCCGCCTGAGAGTTTCGGCTTCCGCATTCGAACAAATTCCTTCGACTGCTTTGGCGATTTCACAGCGTTTGTTAGGGCTCCGAACACTTGCGGTCGAACGATGTTCGAGGTGGCTTGTGGTTTTCCGTAGGGTGTAGGCTTTAGGGTTTATGTTTGCTTTTCGGAGTTCTGTTCGATTGGGGCACAACGTGTGCGCACAGTTTGCAACCAGGCGCTTGAAAGAGCCGAGCGAGCCCTCTCAAAAAGGGTTTTTAGGGTTTCCAAACACAGCAAAGGTTCTTCGTCATGACGACGGCCCGCGCGGGCTCATGATTGCGAAGCAGACAGGCTCCGGCATCCCGCACCCTGAAACCCTAAGGACCCGAAACCCGAAACCCTAAAGCCTCCCAGCTTGAGTTGAGTCAGCCCGCCTCGCAAAAAGAAAAAAAAAAACGCAGGCCACAGGGAGACACCCACAACCCACAAGCGCCTCAAATCGTGCATCCCGAACACTCCAGAAGCCCCCCACGGCGGCACCTTCAGTGCTTGGAAGTTCGCTGCTAGGGTTTAGGCTTTAGGCTGTAGGTGGTAGGCGGTGGGCTGTAGGCTTTATGCTTTAGGCCTTTATGCTTTAGGGTTTAGGCTTGAGGGTTTGGGGTTTGGGGTTTCCTGATCCACGGTTGGATCGGACTCTCTTGCGTCACTACTTGAAGGTTCATGGGTTCTTACAAGAAAGGTAATAAGTGGCACTAATCATTATAGAGCCGTTAAAAGGGTTCTTAAGGGTTTAGGGTTCTTAAGGGTTAAGGGTTTAGGGTTTAGGGCTTAGGGTGAGTCCTTAAGGGAGGGGGTTCATGAGGGGTAGGTACCTAGGGAACCTTAGGGAAGTAGCTGGGACCGGGGAGTATTAGGGATTTCTTGGGCTTGCCCAACCCCCCCCCCCCCCCTAGGAACCCTATAAGAATTAAGGTTACACTTCTGACCACAGTTACCCCTACTTACAACCAGACTTATCAGTACGCATGAACCTCTAAGAATCAGAGATAAGGTTCATGGGCCTTTTCATTTTTGTTGAAACCTTTTTCCAGGATCAAGTGATGAAGCTCCGTTATTCGAGCACTCTACACGGAATTACCATCGCAGGGGGAGTAGGCAGGTTCTCAACCAATCGTGCTGCTCATGCTTTCGACTGTAGTGCATTACCAGCCGTTCAGCCATCGAAACCAGCGTGATCACCTTGACTGTGGTTTTTCGCACCACGCTCGCTGTGCACGACAGGTGGCGACGCTGCCATTGGGGAGTTCATTGGCTTTTATGCCGCCCAGTTTGCATCTAAACCCCGCACCCTGTCGCAAGCTTTCCAATTCCACCTCGTCGCAGGGTTCTCCAACTACCAATACCTGGCCCCCACAAAAGCCCGAAATTGAAGGTCGGATTTGGACGGAGGTAACCTTAAACCCTAATCCCGAGACGAAGTGGAGTAAGCTAGGCGGGAGGCAAACAAAACCCTCATTTCAGCATCCCACGAGCGTTGACTGAACGGAACAAAGCAGGATAGCCCATAACCCTTTACCCTTTACCCTAAACCCTACTAAAACCCTAAACCCTCAAATCTGTAGCGGGAGAGAGAGGGAGAGAAAAACCTTTTGGGAGCGACGTTTCTTCGGTGCTCCAGGCATCCTGAAGTGCCCTGTACAAACTGCGCCGAAAAGCAAGATTCTCCAGAATAGTCATTGAAACAATTTCCCCCGCCCCCCCCCCCCCCGGCCTCCCACAATGTGTTTCTGGCGCCGAAGCATCACTATGCTACAGGAAAACCACTGAAGCAATCCCCCCACCACCACCACGAGTTTGGCTGGCATTGTTACAAAAAGTCACCTGCGAAGCAAACCTGGGATCAACCCCCCCCCCCCCAGATAGTAAGTTCCCCCCCCCCGATATACTGTAACATAAATCTAATGGGGGTATTTAATACTAGGGGGGGGGGCGTTTAATATTAGGCGTAGGGGACTTAGAAGCCACCATCTCCCCTAGGATTGCCACGTCGCACCACGGCGTGGGTGGCACAAAGAGACCATCGATTTGCTGAAAGCCGCTGGGCGGCATGAGGTTCATCCTGCACGTTTAGGGTTTGGGGTTTTGGCAAAAGGGTGTAGGGCTTAGGTTTTAACATCTCAAAATGTTCATCTCCACTCACACCGAGGGGGCAGAGGAGAGTGGCGAGGGTTGGAGGTTCAGGGTGCAGGACATATATACATAGCCCTCATCGAGGTGAAGGCACGCCGTCTGGTCATACCGATGATTGGCGGCTTGGACATCGACACCTGGGACGAGATCCCCAACGGAGGGTTCGTTGGGAAGTGCTGGGTCAACTTCAACGCCGAACCTCTGCTGCCCTTTGTAATCTGGGCCTTGAGGGTTTAAGGTTTAGGCGAGGACCTTCTGCTGCAAAAGGGTTTAGGCATTTTTGTGATCCCGAAACCCTAAGCCCTAAACCCTTAACCCTTGTTGGTTTGTTGGGGGCTGGTGGCTTTTTTATGTTCTGGGGTCAGGGGGGCATGCTTCTTGCAAGGTAGGAAGGAAGGGAAAACCCTATTTTTCCGAAGTCTGAGCCCAGCTAAACATGCTTGGATGGATGTGTTGCAAGGTCGTGGCATCAGAACGAGGACAGTTCTGAAGAGTGGATGTGAAATACGGTCCGAGTTAACTCTCGCATGAGGCAAGAGGCGCCAGCCGAATTCGACTCAAACATTGACACAGACAACAATAAGAGTTTAGGGTTTAAGGCTCGGGTTTTTGCGGTTCGCCGCGTTCAGACCTGAAGCTGCGACTGCAAGCACACTGAAGGATTGGTGGTGGTACGATGACGACTCTGACTACACGCCGGTCATTAGCGGTGGCCTCGTGGCCACCACCCGCGAGTGGTGGAGAGAATCGGGTGGCTTTGCCCCTTTGGCTGGTCCTATCAGCCCTAAACCTACTAGGACCCGGAGAAGGCCCTTATTTAAGGTTCCCCTATAATCCCCTTCAACCCAGAAAGCGTACCCTTTTGTATTCTTAGGTTACTTCTGGGTCTAGCCTAGCCTTCGGTGCACAAGACGGTAGGTATGCAGAAATGCGTGAAACCTTGGTGAAGAGATCTTGTGTTGAAGAGGCACGCTTGGCGCCAGTGACGGCAGCCGAGTGAGTTTCACGTATCTGTGCCTGGATTGTCTGAATTGCGTGAGTCGAGGCCCAGAGCCCTTGAAACCCCAAGTTCTTACATCAGGTGCCAGTGAGTAGGGCCCCCTCTTTCGCCCTATAGAAGTACAAAAACGCGGCACGGGCTGCTGGAAGAGTGTTAAAGTGTCGATGAGGTCTGTTTTCAACGATGTCAGGGAGCAGCAGAAGCCCGAAAGCAGTCCGAGCTCTCAAGCCTGCTGTGCCTCTACATCAGCGGGTTTAGGGTTTAGGTTTAGGCAAAAAGGGTTTAGGGCTTGGGAATCCCTTCTCCAGAAACTCCTGGCAGCAGATCCTTCCACCTCTCAACATCTTCAATCCCAGAACTCTGCCACCGATCCGATCCTACGACTTCAGACACACCTTCCTAATTTTGGGTCCCTTCTTGGGGCACCCATTAAATTACAAGGTGGAACCCTTTAATAAAAAAGGGATCCCCAAAAAGGGAGCCTAATTTTTGATTTACCCACCTGAGGATCCTGGCATGCATGGTTGGGGCTCCTCGCCCAGAAGAGTATGGCCCGGCTTCAGGGTTTAGGGTTTAGGGTTTAGGAAGTTTAGGGTCTAACGACTTCGGGAGGATTCATACACATGTTCTGCGAGCGGAATATGGGCCTGCTTCGTTTACACTAGGTAGACCCTGTGTTCTTGAATATGTTCCCTTATTCCGACAGAGGGTTGCTTCACTATGACACCTCAGCGCACGCTCATATTGGAGCACCTCATAGCCTAACAGGGCTAAACCCCGGAAATCCTTAAGCCCAGCAGTCTTCAGATTCTTCAGCCCTGCAATCCAGAAACCTACTTGGAGGTTCATGGTACTTATGAACCAATTATAACTGTACTTATAACCCTCTTAGGGCACTTAAGGGGCTTATAAGTGGGTTATAAGTACACTTATAATTGGTTAAGAAGTACCATGAACCTCCAAGTAAAGACCGCTTGCATCCCGGAACTCTGGTAAGTTGGCTCATGAGAACGTGGAAGTGAGTGAGCAGCGGCCCTCAAAGCCTGAGCTCGTCTGTCCACTCATAGGTTTTGGATGTGGATGGCATGCAATAAGAAGCCCCAAACTCTTGCAGAACAAAAACCAGAGCACGAGCCGAAAGCCAAATCTCAAAGCCCTTGGCTCGGACTTTCTTAGATTGCTCAGATAATTGGTTGCCGTGCCTGCTGTGTACGAGCGGCAGAACCGAAGCCAGACAAGCCCAAACCCCAATCTGCACGGACACTGTTCTATTTTTGGGCCTTCAACTGTAGTTGCCTGTTTGTACATTCGATTTCCACCCAGAACAGGGTCTCCCCACAACAGGGGCCCTAGTTCAGAACCCGAAACCCTCAACCCTCAACTTTGTAACCCTAAACCCTAAACCTGAGCCCCTAAACCCTAAACCCTTTCAACTTTGTAACCCTAAACCCTGAACCCTTAACCCTGTTAACCCTAAACCTTAAAGCTGCCAGGTGGCGAGAACACCGAGCAGCCCATTAGAACTTGGCTCTGTGGAGGTGCTCACCACACTCATGGGATGTTAGCCCCCTGCCCCCCCCCCCCCCCCCCCTCCCCCCCCCCCTTAAAAGGGTGTTTAGGGTTTAGGGTTTAGGGTTTGGGGTTTAGGATTTTGGGGTTTAGGGTTTAGGGTTTAGGGCCTGTGGGACATTTCATCTTTTCCCTTATGGGTTGAAGAGGATCATATTCAAGAATATTTTTCGGAGGGTTTTAAGGGCCATCCTAGAAAAGGACCCTTGCATGCATGAGAACAGTAAATCTGCGGCTCTTTCGGAAGTTTGGGGGGGGGGGGGGGGGGGCTTCAGTACCAGGCAGAGTAGGATCTCTCTCAGCAAAACCCCAAACCCTTCCTAAACCCGAAACCTCCTAAACCCTTCCTAAACCCTCCCTAAACCCGAAACCCTAAACCCTATACCCTAAACCCTAAACCCTTGGCTGGGTCGGAGAATGGCTTTGAAGTTCTGACGCCTGAGTCCAACAACCCTTTCTCTCCTCATCGCTGAGTTCTGGACGCATTGCATCCCTGCAGCATGGTTGCGAGGCTGCTAGGGTTTAGGGGTTTAGGGTTTAGGGTTTGGGGTTTAGGGTTTAGGGTTTAGGTTTGCAGGTGGCATAAAAACCCTAGACCCTCCAAATCTGTCGATTTTTCGAGGCGACGTGATGAGGGCCAAGAGCAGCATCGTTGCCCACATGTGGAGAACTGAAGCCGACCCACGCAACTCAGACTTTGGGATCTAGGTTGGCCTTTGGCGCATGTAAGTAGTTTTCCCTTCTTAGGGTTTAGGGTTTAGGGTTTAGGGTTTAGGGTTTAGGGTTTAGGGTTCAGGGTTTAGGGTTTAGGGTTTAGGGTTAGGGTTTAGGGTTGAAGTTGTTTTTCCTTTGGGTTGAACCCTAAGGCCAAAAGCGTTGACTTTGTGGGTTGAGGAATCCCTGCTGAGTTGGTCCAGCTATGCGGGTGCCAACAAAGCCTGAAACCTTGAACCATAAACCCCACAGTACCCTGAACCCTCGACCCTAACCCATAAACCCTGAACCTTACGAATAGTTATTGAAGGGGGTTGAATTCAAGGGCCAACGCCGGGCTAGTACCGGTAAGATTAGGGGTGTAGGGTTCATAGGACTTTGGGCACCTAAAGAGGCCAGAGCTTGTGTTTTTGGAAGCGTTGAGGTTTTGGTGTTTAGGTTTCGGGCTTAGGAGGTTTAGGGAATTTAGGGGTTTAAGGGAAACCAAAGCCCTAAACCCAAAAATCGTCTGCTGCAACCCCAAAATCCTTGGATCAGGTGCACAAGAACGGGTTGAAGCAAGCAACAACCCAAGCCCTCTCAACAGAAACAGGCTGGCTTTTTGAGCTCAAGGGCCTGGGACTCAAGGGTATTTCGGGGACTTGGGGTTCAATAAGCCCTGGAGCATGTAGCTATACCACGAAGACAGGAGGTGGCGTTGTGAAGAACCTTGCGCGGGAACGGATGAGGGAGCAGCCAAGGTACCATTGCCCGCTACAAGATCAGGCAGATGCCAGGCTGTTGAATTTGGCCGAACCCAGGGCTTGCCCTAAGCCCTTAATAAATTTTATGCTTTTAAAGCCACGGTTGAAGGCTTATGATACGACGTGGTGCTTGAAGCCATAACTCGCAGGAACCCCCTAGGCCGTGAAGACCTAAACCCTAAAAAGGCACCAAAGCCGTTGAAAGAACAGGATAAAACTCAACCTTTGAGGACATACGTCCTGAAAACCATGAGAATCCTGAAAACCCTAAACCCTAACTCCTAGCAGAACTCAACCCTCTCAGGAAGTACGACAACGTGGCGCGCACGGCCGCTGCTTGGTTCGACGAGTTCCTCCCGAAGTTCCGGAGCGGCTCCTTGGGCGGAACACGCAGATAGCTCAACCCCCCTTTTTGTTTGCGGAGGTTTGTTGAGGGATTGTGGGGTTCGAGGGTTTGTGGTTTGAGGGTTTGAGGGTGGGAGGAGAATTTTGGTTGGGTGCAAAAAGTCCAAGGTGCACACGGTGGTTGGGTCGACGGTGCACGCGTTTTTTTTTTTTTCGGTCTGGCTGGGAACACCCTAACAGGAGATGTTGGGCAGCACTCAAGCCCCCTTATCAAGCAAGCCCTCGAGGGCCCTAAACGGAGATGTTGGGCCTGGGAAGCCCATGCCTGCCCTGAAAGCCGACATGCTGTGTGGCACAAGACTAAACCCTCAAACGAGGTGCTTGCCAGGGAGTGGTGGTCCGGGCACAAGCAAGGTTTGGGCACAGGAGGGGTTGGCTCTCTGACATGGGCTCCGTATCGTTGATCTCTTGAAACGGCGCTGGATGTGATGCGCCGTAATGTAACATGATGCGGCGATGCGGTCTTTTTTCGACCTTGTAAGAGGCCCCTGGGCTGTTTTGTTTCGGCTCCTCAAGGCGCCCGCGCCCCAGGCCTTTGATAGAGATTCTTCCCCCGGTCGCCCTCCTTAACGTCCCTCATGTCCAGCCTCGTGAAGTTGGTGGTGGCCTTGCTCCCTGTTTCCTGGGGCTGCAGCTACGTGGAGATTGCATATCCAGACAGTGGCAAGACGTCCTACCTCATTCCAAGAACCATGGAGCTGTGGGACTTGTTCAATACCACCAAGTACAGCATTGATGCAGTTCCGCGAGGTGGTGGGAACAAGTTGGGTTGGCTTGCGCCGATGAACATCTTCCACTTTCCTCCAACCTACCAGCCTCTCAAGTGCCCCTTTGAGGGCATGAACGAGGCTGGCCTGACGGTCTCTGCACTCTATCTGGCGCAGTCGGTCTATGAGCAGCCAGAGCCAGGAAAGCGGGCGATCCCGGTGTTGGAGCTCGTCCCTGCGATCCTCGCAAACTGCTCCACCGTCGACGAGGCCGTGAAAATGCTCGAGGCTGTGAACGTCGTGACCGAAAGAAACCCGCACTTTCCAGACGCGGTGCTCAAGACAGCCACTTTGCACTGGGCAATCGCGGATCCTTCTGGACGTTCAATTATCGTCGAGTATATTCAAGGCCAGCGTATGATTCATGAGAACACGCTAAGGGTCATGACGAACGACCCAGACATCAAGTGGCATTGGAGGAACTTGAACACCCGCATTCACTTGAGCCCATCTTTTCCGTATCAGAACGAGTTCATGCAAGTGAAGGCGGATGACGAGGTGGGAGTTGTCCCACGTGCAATGGGCCATGGCTATAATCTCGTCGGCCTTCCCGGAGACACGACTTCACCAAGTCGCTTCATCCGATTATTTTACCTGCGCGGCTATTCCATGGAAGCAATGCCCATCAAGAGCTTTGACGACGCTGTCGTTTTGGGAACCGGACTACTCAACAATGTCTGGATTCCGTTTGGCCCCGCCGCCAAGGATCCCAGAGCTGGGCCAAGCGACGGTGCCGAATTCACGGACTATGGCGTCCTGAAAGCTCCCAAGGAGAAAGTGTATCTGATCCGAGCCTATCGGAACACGCAGTGGCGCAAAGTCGATCTCAAACGGCTGGACTTCTCCAAGGGCTACACGTGGCCGCTTGAAGATGGCTCGTTGGGTATCGTGGACATCACAGATGCCGGTAAGATCACTACTCCCAAACAATCGGAGCTTTGAGCACAATGTGGCATTCTTGCATCAAGGCCTTATTTTCTGTTAGCTGCCAGGGCAATGCAGAGAGCATCCCGTGAATGCAGCAACGGCCTCGTGAACGTGGCTGTCATTTTCCCACTCTGGAGGTCACAGTTCCTGAACAGTTACTGTAGACTCCTGTTCGCAAGGGTCGATCATCATCTTGTGCAAAGCAGGTCCAGATTCTCCCCGATGTCGGAAACAAAACAAGAGCCCTGTGCCCTTGTGCTCGTCATCGCACTCCGACCCGGCACAGACACGCATTCCTAACAGGTCCTGCAACAGAAGGTCCTTTTGTCATCTAAAGAGAACATTCTTGCATCCTCCGTCGGCTCCATACATCCTTTGTTTTCGAGAACTTAGCTCAAAAAGACTTGTCTACCAGTTTTGACACTGAAAGTAGTTCTCTATAGGCCTTACTAAACCCCCACACTCTGCCAAAGCCATCGCTCGAAGTCCTGAAGCCGAGGGTTTAGGGTCTAGGGAACTGCAAGGTGACGTCCCAAACGTCAACGTGTCTCAGACGCTGGCCTTGAAGCAGCGATTGGGCTGCAAGCCCTTCGCCTACTTCCTGCATCGCTTCCGAAAGGCTCCATGATCCGGGTCGAGAGAACACCCTAAGACCCAAGCTCGTAGTCAAAAAGGTTTAGGCATAGGGTTTAGGGTTTTAGGTTTAGGGTTTAGGGTTTAGGGTGAGGGCTTAAGATCTTGGAGCTGTTTTTCGAGGCTGTCGAGATCTTTTGGAATTACTTGTCTCAAGTTTCCAGATCTTGTTCTGAGCACCACACCCCAAACCCTCAACCCTAAACCTTGAACCCTAAACCCTAAACCCCAAACCCTCAACCCTAAACCTTGCACGTTTTTGTTTTGGGTGGGCTGATACCTCCGTTCTGCTGATGGAGCCAGGAATGTGGTGGAAGGGTATGTTTCTCAGCAAGAAGGGCTTCGAACATGCATCGCTTCTCAGTAGTGTTCACCCCCCCTCAAGACAAAGTGAGGGCCCGGTGGGGAAACGCAGAATAATAGTGTGTGTGTGTGTGGAGTCAAAAAAATGGTACACTTAGAGCGGGATGCGTAGCCGAGGAGAAGGGGTCAATCATGTGGTGCAGCACGTTTTGGGGAGAAACAGGGCTCTATTTGCAGAGCAAAATCCTGAACCTTCAGCCCGAAACCCGGAACACTACTATGGTTTAGGGTTGGTTTAGGGTTTAGGGTTTAGGGTTTAGGGTTTAGGGTTTAGGGTTTAGGGTTTAGCCCTAAACCCGGAACACTATAGCAACAGCAATTCTCTCGAAGACCCTTGGGATCCGATCGCTTCCGACCAGATCTACTTGAACAGCGGGATGCTTCCAGAGCGCGTGCCAAGCCCAGCCAATTCAACGATTAAGGTTTTAGGGGTACTTTGGGGGACCAAACACAAATGGGGTTTAGGGTTTAGTTTAGGGTTTAGGGTTTTTGGGTTCGGTTTAGGGTTTAGGTTCGAGGGTAGTTGGCGTCATATGCCTTATACTACTATAATCCCGGTTGCGGCAAAATGAACTGCTAGCCCTTTTTGTTTCACGGCTGCGCAGGCTTTCGTGAGGCTCCACGGGCACAGTTGTTGAGGGGGTGAGTGACTTGGAATCTTCGGAACTGCCTCGAAGTGTATCGAAGCGAAGAAAGTAGGGTTTAGGGTTTGGGGTTTGGGGTTTGGGGTTTAGGGTTTCGGGGCTGTTAACCAGCAAGAGATTCGCAGCTTGTGATTCTTGCCAGAGGGGGCTGCCATGTTCGGATGGCCCTAAACCCTGCACCCTAAACCCTGAACCCTAAACATCCGTTCTGGTAGGGCCACGCACCAGTTTTCAGTTGCAAAGCGAAATGCCGGCAAGTGTAACTTCACATGTCCTTGAAAAGCAGCTGCGCGTCTGGCCATAAGGGATAGATAAGGGGTACCCTTCTATAAGATTCTATAAGGGCCCTTATTAAGGGACCATGCAACTACCCCGAGTTGAGGTGTTTCGCATCCGCAGCCGTGGTACTGGACTTTGCCTGCAGCGGCGAAACAAGGAGTATGGGCTGTCCAACTGTGGCAGCCTCAGCTGACTGAGCGCCACATCTCTTTTTCGACTTGATGAAGCGCAGCATGTGGCTGTTCTGCTAGAATGATACAAGAAAAATCTGTTAGTTATATGAATACTATTCTTTATCATTCTATAATCATAGAGAAACACTTAAAAAGTATTATGCAATTCATCACAACACAAAGTAGAATATGATAGCATAGTGTGACGCATAGCGATACGTACGATGACGATGTGCGGGAAGTTGAAAAAAAGCCTCAGCCTTTCTCGATTTCTAAAGCAGACTCGGAATCTAGTTTTAGGGTTCAGGGTTTAGGGTTCAGAAGGATTTTGAAATTGGGCTTAGGGTTCAAAAGGGTCTTGAAATTCAGTGTAGGTTTTAGGATTCAAAAGGGGGCTTAGAAGTTTAAGGTTCAACAACTTGGCATGGCCTGGACTAGCGCCGCCCGCCCCCGAAATCTTGATGTGCTCAGGCATCCAAGCCCTGAAATGATACTGCAATGATGAAGAAGGATAAGAAGAAGAATCGAGGTAGATGTCACAACTCGCGAAGAGCAACTACTCGTAATGATGGGAATAAGAAGAAGAATCCAACCGCCCAGGTCAAGCGGGCACATGGTTCCACCGAGGCAACATGATTCCAGACAAGTGCCTCTGTCGGCATGCGTGCCTGCAGACCCAAGAAAACTGAACTGTATGGGGACCCTAACCCTACATGACAGGCGGTTGCGGGTTTCAACTGTCGCAGTCGGTTCCCAAGCTTGTGGTACCTTGTGGTTCAGGGCTAAGGGTTCATGGGTTTAGTAATTTAGGGTGTAGCTCCGATATCTGAGGTTCCCGTCCACAGCCTCCCTGGCGTCCTTGTCTTCCAAACGCCCGGCGGAAGAAAACAAGGCTGTCAGCTCTTCTCTGAGCGCTGCCGAAACCCTGAAATTGACTCACGAGTTGCCTACACTAGGATGCCCAGTAGTACCCTTATTCCCTTTTTGGGGGGGCTTAGGTTCCCTTATAAACCCCTTTAAGCAAAAAAGGGTACCCTTTTTAAGCCTAGGTTACTGGGCAGCCTAGTACATACCCGAACATGTTTGGGGGTATTTGGGACCTTTGTGGGTCTAGGCGATGCCTCTTGGCCTTGGCACTATGATACCGGGCCTGAAACTTAGGGTCCCCAAAAGGGTGAAGGGGTTGAAGGCCCCCAAACCCTAAACCCTAAACCCTAAACCCCTAAACCCTAAACCCTAAACCCCAAAACCCTAAAGCTGCTCAGGTGGTGAACTGCGGTGGGCACCAAGCGCATTTGGGCTGATCTGGGCTGAGGCTTTTGCCGGTTCCAGTTGACAGGGTAGAACCTACTACATCCAATAATTTAGGGTTTAGGATTTAGGGTTTGGGGTTTAGGGTTTAGGTTTCGTTTCTAGGATTTAGGGTTTAGGAAACTTACCCCGGCTTACTGCAACAGCCCGGGAGCAAAAAAAGGGTTTAAGGTTTAGGGTTTAGGGTTTAGGGGGGTACCTTGGGATGTTCCTCCTTAGACTAACAGTCCTGAGTGGGGATTATAGCACCGCCTATTAGAATCCCCATTAAGGAGCTGTTAGTACAAGGGGGAAAACCCCAAAATACAGAGTAAGCTAGGTTCCCCAATAACCTAAGCCCGAGAAAGCCTAAACCCTCCACACCGTAAGGCTTGCCCCGAGCCAGAACCCGGAAAGCAGGTCGAGTAGCTGAGATGAGGGCTGGGGGCATCTTCCTCTTTGACCTTTCTGCACTGAGAACTCAACGCTATCAGATTCCTTACCTCGTTCGCCGGATTCATGGCCCTCGAGTGTTCCTGAAACCTTTCTCATGGAGAACCACTGAGGGTTTCCATTCCCGGGATGGTTTCAGGTTTACCCTCCATACACATAACGAAGGCAGATCTACCCAGCGACGCTATGTATATATATATACACACATAAAACAGCATTGGAGTTGTTTGAGGTACTTCGTACTGTTGACCTTGAACAATATCAATATACATATATATATATATACACATATACACACATACACACATATATATATATATATATGCATGCATACATACATACATATATGTATATATATATATATACATACATATATATATATACATATGCATGTATGTATGTATTTATAGCTATATCATCGCAGCCTTTTCCTGCCAAGGAAGGGCGGTTGCGATGCTTGCCCCCAAGGCCACGGCCGCAGCCTTGGTCTTTTCTTTGGCACCTCCGAAGGAGGTGCCAGGAGCCCAAGGGCCAATAGGTTTTAGGGGTTTAGGGGTTTAGGGGTTTAGAGGTTTAGGGCTTTAGGGCTTTAGAACTTTAAGACTTTAACACTTTAAAGCTTTAATGCTTTAGAACTTTAGGGCTTTGGGGTTTAGGGTTTAGGGTTTAGGGTTTAGGGTTCCCCCTAGAGTTGCAACAGAAGCTTCCCATTTTTAGAACCCCAACATATCCGTGCGACCCTACATGGCAGGGCGTTGACGGGCTACTGAGTGGATGAAACCAGGTACCATTCGGGCCACTCCAGTGGTTCCATAGTGGACTTGTAGATCGAAACCTTGAGCTGTAAGCTCAAGGAAGGAAGCGTATGCCCTATTTGGCCACTCCGAATCGATGCGCCTTTGCTGGTGGATCGCCCTTATTTGTTCTAAGGCATGGTCTCTGAATATGGTCCCTCACCTTCTTTAGAGGGTTCTGAAGTATGGGTTCTTGGGATTGATAGGGTATACACAGGGCGTACAAGGGGTCCCCATTTGAGGGCCCAGGCTAAGGGACCATGTAACTACCCTTAAGATTTGTGCCCCTCCGCACGAGGCTCTGAATGGTGTAACGAGTCTTGCCTGCACTATTGCCCAGGACAGGTTTGGTAAACTTATGGTTCCTGTAGTATGGACCCTTGGCCCACTCTTGGGGCGAGAATTATAGGAACCCTTAGAGGTACACTTAATGTGCATATTCGAAGTGCACCTAACCTATCCAGGACGTGCTGGGAGCGCATCAACAATTATGGAACCTCTGTGCCGGATGCTACAGGGCCGGGGAGGGCCCCCTAGCCGTAGGTGGAACCAGGGCCCTAAACCGGACATCACCATTATTACATCGGCTCGTCAGGTGCAGAAAGGGCTAGAGGAATGCTCCAGGTACCTTCTAGCCTGCACACCTGAAGCCTGGCGTACTGAATCATGTTAAAACGTCGAAGGGCCGAACACTACAGCGCAGAGAGCTTTGACGAAGGTACGGACCTTGCTTCTGAACGGGAGCTTTGCACCGACAGGCCGCGAATCCCCTATCCTACTCTGGACCGAAACCGAGCGTGAGCGCTTAGGCTGACTGCACTTGGGTCTTTGCCGTTTGCATGTCAAAGGAGGCGGCCAAAGAGGCGGGGTTTAGGGTTTTCAGGGTTTTCAGGGTTTAGGGTTTCGGATTCAGGGTTTAGGGTTTAGGGTTTTGGATCAGGGTTCGGATTCATTTTGGGGCTTTGGATTCAGCCCGTAAGGCCGTAAGGTTTGAGGATGCCAGGGATGGCAAAAAACGGCGCATTTTTGCCGGTTCGAAGCAGAGGCCCGGCCTTCTTGCACTCTGCTTTCTGGGGCGTCTGTTGGCTGAGACGTTCGGGTGGGGAGGGCGGGGGGGGGGGGGGGGGTGGCTTATTCTAGGTGAGCTGTTGGGTTTAAGAATCTGTTGCGTAGGGATGTGGATGTGTTTCGGAGGGTTTGAAGACTAGACGATGAGAACACCCTTGCTTTGGGCGTTTTTGGAGTGGCGGGGATGGCATTTTGCAGCTTCCTGGTTTGAATCCTTACCTTGAATTCTAGCGTCTTCTCCAAGGGCCAGCTCCGTTTTCGTAAAGTCTTTTTGACTCTTGCAACTTCATTCCAAAAAAGCCCAACTCATTCCACAACATTTGTGCGAATCATTCAGAGGAAGTGTACAGCATTCCTGGAAGAATTCCCGAGTTTCTCCGAATGACACTTGACAGAAGCCCTACAGTTTTGACCATCACAGTCGCCCCCGGCTCATCGCAGACACCGGGCTCAGGGAAGCCCAAGCTCTATCCCCCCTTGTTTTTTTTTTTTTAATTTGTTTCTATAAAACCCAAGAGGATATTCATAATATTATCTTTACTAAGGTTCTAAGGGGGAGTAGAGTCTGAAGCCCTGGGGAAACTCCAAGTGAAAGGAAAAAAGAGGCTTCCGGAGGACCTTAGTAGCATTAAGTTTCCTCGATGGGATAGGTTGTTGTTTTGGAATCTTTGGTGTTGTATGTTTTGGGCTCGTTTTTTTATTTTAATTGGAATGTGTTGGAGTTTTTTTGCAGAGTTGTTAATTTTCATGTTTTGTTTTTGTATTCTCGTAGCTTTTTGAACTTCTGAATACTGGAATGGCATGTTTTGGACTGTTGGCGATCTTGCTCGACTTGTGTTTCTGTTTGTTTTCTGGAACTGCTTGTAATGTTCCCTTTCCTAGAATTTAGGCCCCTAAACCCCCACACCCCAAATAACGAGAAACAGCCCTAAACCCGAAATAACCTAACCCACAAACCCGAAATAACCCTAACCCCTAACTAAGCCCGAAATTTCGGTGATCCACTCTTACAGACTGGGCTTGTCGGGGAGTGCATCCATTGAAAATTGGGTACAGGGCTTCGGGGCTCGGTTGTACATCACTGGGCAGTCAGGTCCAGGGTTTCAGGTTGGGATGCTCCCCCTTCTACTAACAGTCCTTAATGGAGGCAATAGTACCCCCACTTAGAATCCTATAAAGGACTGTTTGTATAAAGGGGAACATCCCAAGTTTCAGGCTTCTTGGGCCTTTCCAACCCGAAAACCACTGTCCCAGAGTGGGTGGATCGACCACGATCCCTGAGATTCAAAACGCTCGCAAACATTCCGAAACATTTGAAAACATGCCAAAATGTTCCCGTGTTCCTTGATAATGGTTTTAAGTTTCTGAAATGGCTGCATAAAGCCCTGTCTGGCTGGTTCTTAGTAGGGAAAGAGGGAGTGAGGTACCTATAGAATCCCTTAATTACAGGGTATATATAGGGCCCTCATTCCCTCATGCCCTACTCAGAACCAGGGGGCTGTTGAAGTGATCCCACAAGCTTGGGAACGATCAAGCGCTGCAGCGGAGGCCTCTTCCCGTTTGGCAAAAGACAAGCACCCTGAACCTCGCAAAAAACCTGTAAGAGTTTGGCTAAACCCTAAACCCTAAACCCTCTATGAAGCCCTAACCCGTCGAAGGTCGAGAGCCAGCCGCCGCAGACGTGCTGCTCCGGAATTCGGGAGTGGAATTCCCTGGACCCCGAACTTGCTGGTTCTTGGTAGTGATGTCCCCTCTTATGCTACCAGGTTAGGGGTTCAGAGTTTAGAGTACCCATTATAATCCTTATTAAGGACTGGTAGTATAAGGGGGAACCTTCCCAAGTTGTTAGTAAGGAATGGAGGAATTAATCAGGTACCTTGCATCCTCTATATGGTGGTTTCCGGAATTCGGGTGCCTTATTGGGATCCTTGTCATCAGGGAATCCTACTATTTGGGGAGTCTTTTCTAGGGACCCCCTATTTTCGTAAACCCCCATATAACCTTCAAGGGTTTAGGGTGTAGGGTTTAGGGCTTAGGGTTCTACAAGGGTGCCTCATTCCCTACGAACAGCCAGTAGGCGAAAAGTGTTTGAGGGTTCAGGGCAGGGTTTGCCAGCACAGGCTGGGTTCAGGGTTTAGGGTTTAGTGTTTGGGGTTTAGAGTTTAGGGTTTGCCGCCCTTAGCGCGAGAAGCTGTCTGGAGAGGTTTAGCTCCCGTAAACCTCCTACAGTCCCTGCAATCAAGCACGTTTACCAGGACTGCTGGGCGGGCTTGGGAGGGAATGGGCCTGGCACGGCTTTATGCGACATTACTGGTGCTTCGACAGATCAGCAGTTACCTGCCTTCACTGAACTCAGGGTCGTGTCGGAATGAAGTTTCGGCTTGCTGGTCTGAACATGTCTGATCCAGGTAGCAAGCAAATCCCTAAACCCTAAACGTTTGGAGGCCATCTTGGATAGGGAGAGTCCATGTTGCTCTTCTGGCATTTGTAAGCCTAGTAGGAGAGTAGGTAACCTTTAACCTTTTTGGGGTAGTATAATCCCCTTATAATCCCAAAGGTTAACCTTCAATTCCCCCAAGTTACTGGACAACTAGGTAAGCCTGACACCTGCTTTGGTTTCAAGGGATATTGATGCTGGCTCTCTTAGAACCCCACCCATGCTTAACCCCTCAGCACGAAGCTTGAAACACCCTGAACCTCTTTGGCACCCCTGACCGGCCTGAACGTCTGAGTGCTCTTCCTTGGTAGCCCAGTGGTGCCCTTTACCTTTTTTGTTGTTGGTTCAAGGTTCCCTTACAAAGTAGCCAGCCCAAAAAAGGGTGCCCTTATTATAATATGGTTACTGGGGTACCAAGATTATGATCAGGTTCATCTTTGACGATTCTGGACACATCTGGCATGGTTCCGGCGAATGTCTGGGCGTGATGCATGGCGTGAGTTGAGATTCACAGCCCTAAACCCTAAACCCTAAACCCTAAACCCTAAACCCTAAACCCTAAACCCTTTGGTTCGAGAATCGTGCATGGGCTTCGACCCTTTGCATCCAAGGAAGGACGACCACCACCTGAAGAAGGGAAAGTGCTCGACAGCAGAGCAGCCAGACGGGGGTTTAGGGTTTTTAGGGTTTAGGGTTCAGGGTTTAAGGTTTAGGGTTTTTAGGGTTTAGGATTTGTAGGGTTTAGTGTTTAGAGTTCAGGGGAAGAGTGGGAAGCATGTTCCCCTCCCCCACCCCCAATCCCACGGGCCCATTTGACCCCCAAAGGTTCGGCCACATTCGCTTTGCAGCTTCAATTCCATCTTAACGGTATCTTGGTCCTTCCCCTCGCTCCCTAGCGCGGACCATGGCATCGTGGTGTCCCTAAACCCTATAAACGTTTGTCTAACCCTCTAAAACCCTATAAAACCCCATAAAACCCTCTGGGCTCTCCAAAACCCAGTCCCAACCGACTTGTGCTTCCTCCTGCTAAGCCAAGCACATCCAAATAATGTAAGGGGTTTGGGGTTTAGGGTTTAGGGGTTTAGGGGTTTAGGGTTTGGGGGTTTAGGGTTGATGGGTTTAGGGGTTTAGGGGTTTAGGGTTTAGGGGTTTAGGGTTTAGGGGTTTAGGGTTTAGGATTTAGGGGTTTAGGGGTTTGGGGCTCGGTCTGCCAGGCCGTACCCTTCTGGGAGGGTTTACCCTCAGAGGGACCAAATACCCGATCTTCATGGTTTTATGGGCCCCAAAACCCCTTTGAGTCATTTTGCTGGTTTGGGACCTAAAGCCAGAACTATAGGGTACCCTGGGATTTTGGGTGATTTGGGGACCTAAAGCCACAACTATAGCGTACCCTTGGGATTTTGGGTGTTTTGGGGACCTACAGCCAAAACGCAAGGGTATTTGGACCCTCAGAATTGCCGTCTGCATGCACGCCGACAGGCAATGGGAGTTGATCGAGGAGTTCGAGCCGATGGAGACGAAGCTGTACAAAACAGCTGTGGCAAAGCAGCTGAGCCGAAGCTAAGATTGCTTGTGGAGCCGAGGTTGAGGATCTAAACCCTAAACCCTAAACCCTAAAGGCTGGACTGGGAGGTTCATGGTACTGAGTAGCCCAATGACAGCTGCACTTCTAGCCCAAGCATATTAGGGCACTTAAGGGGCTTTATAAGTGGGCTATAAGTGCTGTTACTATTGGGTTGTAAGTACCATGAAGCTCCAAGAATAGGGTCTGGGGGGGGGTTGTGGGGGTTAGGGGGTTGGGCCCAACTGGAGGTGGGCCAGAAGGTGGAGGGTTTAGGATTAGGGTTGTGGGGGTTTATGAAGATAAGGGACCCGTAAACACCCCAAACAGTAGGAGTCTCTTATATTCGGACACCCATAAGGTAACCCCCTAATTGCGGAAACCCTGGTGTAGGCTTTGGGGTTGGTATTTTGTGTTCTGCGGTCGCTCACTGGAGGTACTCCCTATCCGAGAATGGGCCCGACCATTGAGGGACAACGCGAAAGTGTGGCAACTGTAAACGGGAGAATGGATCAGACTTTGGGGGGTTCCTAGAAGAACGGTCGTAAAAGTATGCCGCGTGTCGCGCCGGGGCATGTGCTGGCTCGTGCAGGCGTGAAAAAGCTTTTGGGCTGTGGGGGTTTAGGGTTTAGGGTTTAGGGTTTGGTGCATTTTTGCTCAGGCATTGCCTGACCATGTTGGTTCAGTACTCCAGAAAACCACCTGCTGAGTACCCTAAGCCCTAGACCCTGGAGCTTGTACGTGGACGACGCACTTGGCCATGAACTTGTGGGACTGTGATAAGCTGGGAAAGTCGCCGAATACTGCTTCATCCAATCTTGCTGGTTCTTCCTTCAACAGCCTGTACGGATGTTTTCTGATACTGGCCCAGTATTTCGGGGCAAGAAACCGCACCACTGCAAGCAGGGAGGGGAGAGGGGCTCATTCGGGTTTAGGCTGTTTTGCGGGGTTCAAGTGGAGCATGTCGCGCAGGTGGTGCAAAAAGTCCGGGGGTGGCCGTCTTGGTGGTCTTTTGCCATGAAGGGGCTTTTAGGGTTTAGGGTTTAGGAGGTCCTCATCCCTGACTTCTCCACTGAAAGGCCACATTTGACGGTGCCCGGTTTGAGTTGCAACAAGGTTGGAGCTTTTGCCCGCTGCCATTTGTGACTCCACGCGCGTGGGCTAGAAATATGCAAGTTATTTTTCAGCACAAGGCAGCAAGAAAGATAGGCATCATGTCTGGTACAGTACCTTTAGCACCACGTAGTTACGCTGAAGTTCATAGAACACGAACGGAGAACTCGTGCCGCTGGGGTGAGGATGTCATTCGATCGGCAGGCGCGCGCCAAGACTTTTGCTTTCCTTACATCAGTTTAAGGGCGTTTTTCAAGGAACCCACCTGCTGTTACTCTTGCCAAAAAACTAGGCTTGGAGTTCTACTGGCTAGGTTTACGAGGACTGCCATCACCAGGGGGCTCACAAGCCTCCCCAAACCCCCAAAGGCACTTAGGTCTCATCGGCCCCGCTCTACGAACAGTTACAGGGTGTATAAGGGTTTCCGCAAGTAAGGGTCCAGAAAAAAAGGGACCATGGAACTTCCTCAAGAAGCCCCCCACACACCCAACCATGCCGAGGGCAAGCCCTAGTATTGGTGTCGGAAGGTTCCCTTGAAGACTGCGGGTTGTCCCCTGTAGGTCCTGATCTTGTTCGCATAGGTCATTTCGGGCAACGACGGGTTTTGAGTCCGGTAGTTGTTTTCGCCCTTTTTGTTGGGTCTGTGACCGGTGTCGTGTCAGCTAGGGCCCAGAAACTCACCGAGCCTCACAGGAAAGTTCCCTTTCTTTCCTGAACTGATATTGGTCCAAGACCTCACCTAGAGGGTTTAGGGGTTCGCGGCGCTGTAAGCTCTTCTGGAACCCAGGACAGGTTTCAGGTTACAGGATCGTACCTTAGAGGGGCCTTCAAGTACCCTACTAACTGGGCTTCCATGTGCCTTGAGTCTCGTCATTTAGGGTTTAGGGTTTAGGGTTTAGGGTTTAGGGTTTAGGGTTTAGGGTTTAGGGTTTAGGGTTTAGGGTTTAGGGTTTAGGGTTTAGGGTTTAGGGGTGCGGCAAGGTTCGTGGAGAACAGCTTGATGATGGAGCGACAGCTGTTATGCTGAGGCGAGGGTTGCTTCCATGTGGCAGGGAAGCGCGCAACATTGAAACTCTGAACCCTAGACCCACACCCTGCAATTCACCAAGCATAGTTCTTGTTGGTGTTGTACACGTTCGGCCATTCGGGGTGACAACTCTACTAGCCGGCAACCTGCCTAAGCTCATGTTCACACACACGCACACACATGTACGTGTGCGCTGCATCATGTAGCTTTGCCAAGGTTGACCGAGCAAATCTGCCGATCGTATAACCAACCGAACTTGCAGATAGCCCGAAGACTGCAGCGTTCAAAGCGTGAGCCTTTTTCAAAAGCGCCATAGCACAAACCTACTCCCCAATGGTATAAGTCGGTATAGTCTTTGCTTTCACTACTGGCCCCCTGCGGGCGATGGCAATGCAGCCCTCGTGCCATGCCCTCTTGGCTGGCAGAGGACAACTACGACATCTTCACCCTGCTCCGGGGACTCTTTGGGCCCCGAGGTTTCATCGATCCGCGGCTACGGCTCCATGCCACCGCGCACGGGCGCGGCGTAGTCGCTTCTGGCACGTTGAAAAAGCACGAGGTGCTCTTCCAGGTGCCACTGAAGTTTATGCTTCGCAGGAAGCTGCCGTGGTCCGAGGTGCCGCTGTTCAAGGCGAGCCGCAAAGGCCTGTCAGAGGATGATGAGATCATCCTCTTCCTGGCAGCCCTCCGAAAATTCGGGATCTACTCGGAGTGGTACCGTTACCTGCGAACACTTCCGCTGGAGAAAGGATCCTCGCCTGTGGCTTGGAAGCCCCAGGAGGTGCGGGCCCTTCGAGGCACGCCCGCGCATGGAGAGGCGCGGCGTCTCCGAAGGCAGCTGTCAGCTCTGTGCGAACGCTTTGCTCGCGACTTTGCCTGTGAGGAACTCCGGTGGGCTGCCAGCCACTACTGGAGCCGTGCGGTAGCCGTGGCCGGGGCTACCCCGAAACCTTTTCGGGCACTGATTCCAGGGGTCGACCTCCTGAACTTCGACCCCAGATCCCCGAACTACGTCCGCACGGCCGGGAAGAGCATCGTTTACGTGGCAGGCAAAGATTTTGCAGCCGGTGAGGAGATCTGTGACAGCTACGGGGGAGGCAAGAATGACACCAACCTTCTCGTGCACTATGGCTTCCTTGTAGAGGACCCTACAGAAAGTTTCATCGAGCTGCCCCTCCCCGAGGCTACTGGAGAGCACTCGCAACTCAAGCACACGATGCTGATGGCAACGGGCACGAGCAAGGCGAGGCAACGGCTGAAAGTGCGGCCAGGAGGTGACGTCGAGGGCGTGAGTGCACTGAGGCTCCTCCAGCTGAGTGGAGAGGAGTTCAGTTCCTACAACGTGCTCCCCTTGCTCTCGCGCTCACCTGTGCCTGCTGCGCGTGTTCTACGTGCTGAGGTGACAGCCATGTCCTGGCTGCTCGAAAGCTGTGGGGCCCAAGCTGCGGAGCTGAGAAAACACGAGCCAGCCCGGGCACAGCTGCCGGCAAAGCCCGGTGGGCCTTTTGAGCCCTTTCGGCTGGTCGCCGAATACCGGGCCAGGGTGGCAAAGCTGTGGAGCGAGTGTATGGAGGAAGCCGCGAGGCGCCTTGAGCTGCTCCCGCCAGTCCCGCCCTTGCCTCCACCCACACTGCAACGGGCGGACATTGTGGACGCCTTGCCTCCCACACCAATTTCTGACAGGGAGGAGGCGCAATGCGGAGCTACTGAGCCTGGTGAGCAGGTGCCGGTGGCAAAGACGCCTCGTGCCAGCCGGCGAAGAAGAGGAGCTTCCACCAAGCAAAAATGGCGTCGAGAGGCTGTCCGCCTGTCGGCAGCTGCAGCCAGGTGTGGACGCGCCTGTCCCATGTGGCTGCACAAGCTGGCCGCTACTGCATTGGGCGAGGAGCCCTGGCCACTGCCCGGCCCGCTCGAACGGCGTTTGGCTGGCTTTGCCCCGCCCCTCCGGTCCGAATGGGATCCCTGATCTTGAGAGGGAAAAATGGCGAGGTGTGCTGCATAGATGTCCTGCCCCCTAAGTCAGTCGATAACGTCGCGATGTGCTCAGTTCGCTGCAGAGGGCTTCAAGGGATGTAGTTGCCTCGATCCGCCGAGTGCATCTGCTCCGCACACAGAAAGCCCGGTGATAATGCCGGGCCCCTGGAACTCCACTGTAGATTGCCGCGTCCTGTGCTCTCGGACATGCTCAGGGGGATGTGCACGCTCACACAAGCAAGCCCAACTAGGCACTCTGCTACGACACAAAGTCCCTGGATCCATGCCTAGCCTATGCACCTTCTTCACTTCTTGCAGGCGTTTGCCTTCGAAGTTATCGACAGACACTTTCCTGGACATCTTGAACCAGATAGCTCCAGGCAAGTGAGCCACATGCCATCCCTGCAAGGGCGACCAGGGCCTAGGGGCAGAGAGCGTGCCGCCGTGATCTTGAAAGGAGTTGTAGAGCCATCGGAGAATAGCAGAGACCTGGACACCGATGTCACCCAAACCCTAACCCCGTCCCCCCCCCAAGAAAACTAAATAGAGGGGATCTAGAATCCCCTAAAATCCCCCTAAAGCGCGTCTTTGCAGAGAAGCGCTCCCCTGAGAGGTCGCTACAACTTTGTGTATATCCCGCACGACAAGACCAAGCCGAGGAATGTGGCTCTGGCCTTTGCGAACTTCACAGACCATGAAACGGCAAAGAGCCTGGGTCTTCTTTTTAGGGTTTAGGGTTTAGGGTTTAGGGTTTAGGGTTTAGGGTTTAGGGTTTAGGGTTTAGGGTTTAGGGTTTAGGGTTTAGGGCCGGAAACAGGGGGGCCTTTAGGGTTTAGGGTTTCTTTTTAAGGGAAGGGGGGGGGGGGAACGGTTTTTGGCTTAGGAAGCTCTTAGCTTATAGTATTTCGCCTGTCAACATGAGGGCCGCTCAAATTCAGTGGTCTGGGAGTTGCTAAACCCAAAGCACGGCCTGACACGCCAAGGATTGCGTATTCATATTTTCAAGGGTGCACCACCCCGATGGACAGCCGGCTGGGAAGCCACATTCGCGTTTTCCAGGCCAGGTGTTTTCTATTACTATAGCCCCGTTAGGATTGTTTTATCTTGTTTTTGTAATGAGTAAGAAAGACAGAAGCAAATCGATAAAAGCATCTTTATAATTCCCAAAAATGCTACACATAATATGTTCATTAAGATTCTAAGGGGAGTAATTATTGTCTCAAGGATCAAGTTCGGCTTAGTGTGGGGGGGGGGGGAGTTTGGGGAAGGAGCCTTCAAAAAAGAGCACGGGCCACTTGCGAAGCAGCTCGGGCACCGCAGGGTTTAGGGTTTAGGGTTCAGGGTCTAGGGTTTAGGGTCTAGGGTTTAGGGTTTAGGGTCAATTCCCAGACCCGGGGTAACGCTAGATCACGGGGTGTAAAGGGTCATGAACACCGAAGCGATAACAACCTGTAAGTGCTGGAAACCCCAAAGCCTGGCGCACACTTCACACAGCCACGAACCCCCGAAAGGGTTTAGGGTTTAGGGTTTAGGGTTTAGGGTTTAGGGTTTAGGGTTTAGGCCTACATCATCCCGAACCCTCTACCGACTAAAGACCCCAACATGGTTGGCGCTAAGGCTGCCGAAGGCCCCCCCCAACCCCCACACACCCTGAAAGTACCAACATGCTTAGGGTTTAGGGTTTAGGGTTTAGGGTTTAGGGTTTAGGGTTTAGGGTTTAGGGTTTAGGGTTTAGGGTTTAGGGTTTAGGGTTTAGGGTCAAAAGCCCAAACCCTCTCATGCCCAAAGCTTGGGATGTTCCCCCTTTTACTCAACAGTCCTTATTAGCATCCCTACGAAGGACTGTTAGTATAAGGGGGAACATCCCAAACATGAAGCCCTGAAGCCACCTCAACCTCTAAACCCTAAGCCCCCCAAACCCTAAACCCTAAACCCTAAACCCCCCAAACCCTAAACCCTAAACCACTCGGAAAGAATGATAAACAAGCAGGAAAATAAGAGGCCCTGAAAGGGTACCAAAAAAAACAAGAGCCTGCTGGGAGCCAGGCCGATGTGCAAGGCCTGAGCCAGAATCTGGCGTACTTCATCGCCAGGAGCCGCGGGTGGAGAGGGTTTCTCAGTTGCCGGGTGGGTTTAGGGTTTAGGGTTTAGGGTTTAGGGTTTAGGGTTTAGGGTTTAGGGTTCAGGGAGTTTTCTATCTCCTTTTCTTGGGTTGAAGAGGATCATCTCCAGGAAAGGATTCAGGGGGCCAACCTGGGCCGGAAGCTCCAATTTTCTTGGAAAGTGGCCCTTAAGCCCCCTCGCTCCTGCCTTTTTGCTTCTCCAAATCTTTGTGTTTGCCTAGCGGCTCTTAAACGCCCCACAGGCGAGGTCGAAGCTCCTAAGCCCCTGAAGCCTCAACCCCCCCCTTGCCGCCACCGAAATCAGGGCTCTGTTTCTTGCTCCCTCTCCATGTGGCGGAGGTTGACGATGTGCCAAAGCAGAACCCAGTGTCCCACTAGAGCTGGGGATTGCTCAAGTCTCCCTCCAGCTCGAGACATGCTAGGGTTTAGGGCTCAGGGCTCTTGGGGCTTTCGGGCTTAGAGTTGTGAAGCTGGGGGCTGATCGGTGTGCTCCAATGCACCAAGACGTCACGCGCCCCAGCACAGCAAAAGGATCCGTGTGGGGGAGAGGTAGAGGTTTGAAGCACCCTAGGATGGCTGCCTGGCTCCATTCGGAGTATCCGGAAGCAAGTCTGCTTTTATCTGGTCGACTCTCTGACTGTTAAAATGCACTAGCTCCCTGTGTGGGTGAGTTGGTGGTGGGTGGGTGGGGGGCGGGGGGCGGTGCAGCCTAAAAAGCCCGAAAAACCCTAAAAACCCTGAAGGAGTGGACTTGCCGACATGGAGAATCCACACGCGCCACGGGTTTTCGAGAGCGGCCGCCAGGTCAACCTCCTAGAGGCCCCACCCCCCCAAGGAAGTTTAGGGTTCAGGGTTTAGGGTCTAGGGATATCTAGGCCCTAAACCCTAAACCCTAAACGCTGCCATTCGTGAGTGTGAGAATCGAAACCCTAAACCCTAAGCCGTAAGCCCCATAACCTATGAGGTTTCAGGCATTTGGGCTTCAACTCCGATGGGAGGGAGGCTTAGCTGTATAGAGGGACCTAACTTACCTTAATTTCAGGCTCACTGGGGGGGGCTTTGGTATGTCTAAGGGTTCAGTGTAAGGATGCGAGGGTTTAGAGTCTATAGGGTTTAGGGTTCAGGGTTTAAAGTGTAGGGCTTAGATGCTCACAGGGCCCCTTGAGAAGGGTATTTCAGCACTCCGCAGCGAGAGCTGGAGGCCGCCAGGAAGCACGTGACCATGACCCTAGTGTCTCAGGCGCCCCGGTGTGCAGCCTGGAACTGTGCCTCATTGTCGGTTCAGGGCATATGGGGATATGGGGTGAGTAGGCCAATTCTTGTGTGCATTTCGGGGTCCATGCAAATTGAGAATGTGTTCACATTGCGCGTGCCAAGGCGGTCGAGCACATGAAAGCAATGGACAACGTGCCTGGGCTTTGCGAATCAGAGTTTAGACCCCCGATAAACCCTGAACCCTCTACACCCTAGCGTCGAAGTGCCTAAGCCCGTAACATTAAGTGGCCAGTTATGAGATGAGCACCCTAAACCCTAAACCCTAAACCCACTCTGGTACTCGTAAAACAAGTTGATGTGGACTCATGGAAGTAGGGAGGGGGGGTGCGGGGATGTGGGCCTCGAAGACCTTCCTCCCCCCCCTTCACGCCCCTCACCCCCAACTCGTCCAGAAAACTCAGAGTCTGGAGCTGCAGTGCTTCTCCAGTCGCACGGGGCTTGCAACTCCAAGTCTTGAGGTGCTTTGTTGAGTAAAGGCGCGTGCCCTGAGCTTCATGGCTAAAAGCCCTATACAAGCCTCAAGCAAGCAAACGCGACAACACCCGCAGCAGATACACCCCCAAGCCCTAATCCAACAGAAGCCCGGTTTAGGGCCTTGGGTTTTGGGGTCTTGGGTTGAAACAAATACCTGTATGCCCTTACACTGAGATGCCCAATCCCAGACGATCCCCACAGGGCAAATTAAACGACTTTGCTCTTGGGTGAGTGGGGAGGGGGGGGTTTTATACATACACGGACACATGTCTGTACATACACACCATAAGCCCTAAACCCGGAACTTTTTCCCTACAAGGTCGGTGGCTCAGAAATAGAAAAGGGTCTTAGGGTTTTTGGGGTCGTTGGGTCTTTGGGTAGACGGGGCCGAGGTTTCGTGTGCAGGGTTTAGGGGGTCTAGGGTCCAGAGGGTGTGCAGGTGTTTTGGGGACCAGGGTGTGGGGGTTGTAGCTACTAGGGTTCTTTAAACAGGGTCCCTTCGGGGCACAGATTTTTTACGGTTTAGAGTTTAGGGTGCCAGCCGCCCTGAACCCTAAACCCTAAACCCTAAACCCTAAATCCTAAACCCTAAACCCTAAACCCTAAACCCTAAACAGCCCAAAACCCTAAACTCCCTTGATGTCTTAAAAACTCTCGGATGCCGACTGACGCCTCCCACCTGACAGGCGAGGGCGCGGCACAACGCGTGGCCGAAGAGAGATGGACCGAGCCTGGGTTTAGGTTTAGGGTTTAGGGTTTAGGGTTTAGGGTTTAGGGTTTAGGGTTTAGGGTTTAGGGTTTAGGGTTTAGGGTTTAGGGCCTGACATGCAACATCATTCAAAACTACCCTAACCCCTAACCTTTTAAACGCTAAAAACCCTATAAACCCGATAAACCCTATAAACCCTATAAACCCTATAAACCCGAAACCCTATGATCCCGAAGCCCTAAGCCCTGCATCGTCCCCCCGAAATTCTGGACCTTTCCCTGCTTCTGGGCCTGGTCGCCTTTGCCTGTCGCCTTGCGTTGGGGCATGGTGGCGGCGGTGGCTGGAACTTAGGGCCATGGCTTCTCTTTGCTTAATTGGAGAACATCCAGAAAATGAATGATGATAATAAGGGCTCTATGTTGCCTTTAGAAGGGAGAGTTCTTAGGCAAGTAGTAGGTGGTCTTGTGGGTTTGGGATGGAGGGTGTGTCGCTGGGGGTTGGGGGGGAGGGGGGGGAGAGAGGTTCATCAGAGCCACCTCTAAGATCCACATGTTGCAAAGATGTGTGGCCGAAAGCTCCATCACATCTGCAGAGTGTGTGCTCGAGGTGTTGGGTGACAAGTAGAGCCTATTGGAGGGTTGAGTCAGGGTCGTGGGCGGCTTAGGGGATGCAGCGTTTGGATCTTTAATATTCGTACGGCCTAGCCTGCAGCATGTGGCAGGGTGGAGGGTTCACGTAGCTTTTTTGTTGGTGCAGTTGGTCCCTATGTGGAAAGCGTCGGTTCATTCTCCAGCTCTCTACACGTCCCCTGGCCCAGCTTAGGGCTTTGAGTGACGGTTCTTACAGCTCTAAGAAGTCCGAGATCCCTGGCAGACAACATGAATGGAACCGGGGTGCTTGCAGCATGCAAGGGGAATTCGGGCGGCAGACATCATCCACGGTGGAAGTATCTGTAGTTTGGGGGAGGGACTGAAGCAAAGTGCTCTGAAAAGCTGACGTGCAGGCACAATCGCCGGCATTCATAACGCCCCCTATATGATGTGCTTAAGCAGGGATGCGCCTGGGCAGTGCGAGTTAGTGGCCCTCGGGACATGCGGATCATCCTAAAGCCCTGCCTCTTCAAAGTGTCTTTCCCCGACCCCTGTGGTTGAAATCTCAGGGTCTGGGAGAGAATTAGCTGGGCGAGTGGATGCCATTTTGCTTTTCATTCCTGAGTGTGGTTCTATGGGTACTAGCTCCCTCTCCCCTCCCCCCCGCCACCCCCTCGCCTGTCAGGGCTTTTGACATTCCACAGCATTTGGGGCTGCGTCCGCCAACATGTCAATTGTGCTAAGGAAACCCGATGCACGCATAAACACGACGAGGTCGGGAAGAAGCGGCTCTGCTCAGTCAGCGTTCCCCTAAACCACTAAACCCTAAACCCTAAAGCCCAATCCCGAAGCCCTAAACCCGAATCCCGATTCCCCAAACCCTACACCTTTGTTTCTTCCTGGCACTTCGCTGTGAACATGGGCACTTCCCAGCAGAGGTTCTGGGTTTCGGGGGGCACGTGGTCCGTTATTGCCGATGGGTCTTTCGGGGATATGTCTGCAGAGTTCAGTTCCTGGAAGCTGAAATCACCTGCCTGTTGTGCTGATCTTCGAAAATCGGGCTCGTACGGCCCTCACCTTGCCGCACGAACTTACTTCTGTACTTCAGTGGGAGGCCCTTTGATTGCTTGAACTCTTTAACTTTCAAAATCTTATTGACCAGTGTGTAATCCCACACATTGCAGCCAAACGCAAGGTCCAATTGTGATATAGAGGCCTGAGGCCTGGTGAATTTTCAACGGTCGTTTGGGTAGCTGCGTATACAAATATGTACATATGAAATGTATACAGGCTCGGAATTTTTAGGGGATGATCGTTTATTCTGTGTGACGCAGGACCTGTCATCACGGCCCTAAGATGACAGGCTCACTTTTGGTAACAGCTCCTGCACTTCGGGGTCCGCGCCCATGAGTCAGAAGCCTGGAACCCTAAACCCTAAACCGGTGACAAGGTTCAAGTTTATGTAGGGTTTAGGACCTCTTGGGGCTTTCAACGATTCAGGCTTTGGGTTCCATACCTAGCCGGCCCAACCCAAGCACCAACAAGGGGTTTTCGGCGAACGGCCTGCGAGATGTTCGGGCTTTTCCGGGAGTTTGTAGAGTCCAGAATTCAGGCGCCCAGCTTCTAACTGAATTTCCCTAAGCCCTAAACCCTGTACCCTAAACCCTAAAAACCCTAAACCCTGTACTCTAAACCCGTCTTACAAAGTGGCCGAGGTTATGCGCTGCACATCAATGCGCCCACAGCTGCAGAGGCAGAGGCCAGAGATGATAGCACCTTTGCTCTCCTGCTGGATGTGACGAAGGATTGTCAAGGGTTTAAGGGTTTAGGGTTTAGGGTTCAGGGTTTAGGGTTTAGGGTTTAGGGTTTAGGGTTTAGGGTTTAGGGTTTAGGGTTTAGGGTTTAGTGTGCGCTGGGACAAGCCTTTGCCAAAAGGGTTTTGGGTTTAGGTCAGGTTGCCAGCCCTGTACCTTCAACCCTGGCCACTTTTCCCACAGCGGCTCTGACCTCATCCACCGGCAGAACCCTTCTTCCGGGAATTGCTTGGAGGTTCATGGTACTTATGAACCAATTTTTGCACTTATAAGCCCCTTAAGTGCCCTAAGATGGTTCTGAGTACAGTTGTAAGTACAGCTCTAATTGGCTAATAGGTACCATGAACCTCCAAGTAGCAACGAGGCGCATACCTTAAACAAGTTGCATAAACCCTAACCCCAAACCCCAAACCCCAAACCCCAAACGCCAAACCCCAAACCCTAAACCGTAGCAAAGAATTGAAGGCTGGCGACCCACCTTGCTGTATTAGAAAAATGGTGAAAGCTGAAACTACACCCCCCCCCCCCCCGTCCCCACCCCGGAGAGAGACAGAGAGAGAGCTGTGAATCTGAGGCAGCGGTTCCTCCACGAGGGATACGAGGGCTTGCCAGGTTCCTTGGCACTGCTCGGTTTAGGGTTTTGGGGGTCTTCTACACCTCGGCCCCAACCTTTGAGAGCCTTGAGGGCCCCTAGACCCTGCTTTAAACCTGCTGCACTGACCCTTTAAACCCTCTAAACTCCCGCGGCCAAACCCTAAAAACCCTCGCGGTTTGTGCTTAGGCTTTAGGGCTCGGAGTTTTTGTAGTCTGGCCCTTGAGACTTTCAGGCCTAATGTTTGTCAAGTCAACCCGAACCCGAAATCCTAAACCCTAAACCCTAAACCCTAAGCCTATACCCTATAAACCCTGAACCCGAAACCCATGAGGCTTCGGATGGCGCCGGGACCGATCCGGGCGCCTCGAGTTCAGCAAGCTCGATGCAAGGCCGTGACCCTAAACCCTTCAGGGTTGAGGGTTGAGGAAACCCTAAACCCCAGGGTTTAGGGTTTAGGGTGTAGGGTTTAGGGTTTAGGGCTACAAAGACACACCTGATGCGAAGGGCGCCAGCGCGGGAAAATCGAGCAAGACCAAGACTCTGCACTTGCCGAGGTGCGCGAGGGTTTTCAGGGTTTTTGAATCCCCAACTGTTTCCTAAGCCTTGTGTGGGTTTTTGCCCGAGGTTTCAGGGGTTTAGGGTTAGGGTTTGTGGCAGGGTTTAGGGTTTAGGGAAGGGTGAGGGTTCCGGGGGGGAATTCGTCGGCCTATTTTCCCGAATTCCATGCGCGATCATTTCGTAACGAGTTTAAGTTTTGATAGAGGACTCTAGGGCACCAAAAAAGTCTAAGTTGAAAAGAAGCCGTATATCCTACAGACTACTGACTACTTACTTGGGAAGTTCTCCCTTATACTAACAGTCCTTAATCGGGAGTATAAGGGGAACATCCCAACTCCCTACAGAGAACCCCACACCCCAAAGCCTCAAGACAAAACG